TCTGTCTTTCTGTCTCCTTCTCCTAGAGGCGGGTCTTAGGTTCTTTTAAGGACGGAGTGCTTTCTGAAAGGTTCCCTGGTTCCCCCAGTGCTGTGCGTCCCGAGAAGCCTCCGGCATTTTGTCAGAGGCTCTCCGTTGTCTCTTCAGGTTGAAGAATTGCCAACAAGCATGGGCTCCTTGTTTCTCACCCTTCCTGTGGTCCCTTTGGCGGCGGGCGGCCCTTCCCAGATCTCTGGGGAAGATAGGGCAATGCGTAGCATCTAATCCGATTTTTTGTCAAGGCCTCAAGCACAGCTCTGTCCGGCTACAGTGGAATTTTTCTCACTTTTGTCAACTAGTTATCTGGTGTAACAAACCAAGAATCACAAATGCGTGGCCAACAGGCTGCCAACAGCCCCTGGGCCTTGTGTGCTGGGCCTGCATGAAGTATAATATGTATCATTTTAATGCCTTGCAATGGGCCACGGGTTCTCCTGCTCGTCACAGTCCCCACCCCTCCTTATTGTCTGCCCCCAGCTTGTTTCCCTTGTTTACAGTCTCTGGTGCCTGAGTCCGTGCCCCCCCCAATGTGCTTAGAGGGGCCAACACACATTAGATCTCAGTGTGCACTCCAGCAGGATCCCAGCTTCTCCCTACAGTTCTCAAGGTGCTCCCCACAGAACTGGGGCTTTTTATTCATTCACCAACCCACATGGATTCACTGGCCCCTGGGATGCACCCCAGTCACGCTTGGGGCTATGAATACAGCCCTGAGTATGACACAGGGGCACCTGTCTTCTCTCTGAGGTCAGCTGAGGGCGAGTTACTAATGTTTTGCAAGGAGGGGAGGCAGCAGCTCGATACAATCATTTCTTTATCTTCATCTTGATTCTCTGAGTCCTCCCCTAGTTACCTAGGATTTAATCACTATGATCAGTATTTTTTTCCTGTGAAAGTGTTGAAAGCGGATCAACTGAGCTGGCAGGAAAAAAACCTCACTGCTTTGCTTTGTAACTAAAAACCATCTTAGATGTGAGATTATTTGAAGTAAAAATAAAATAAAATTCCACTGTATGCTTGCCTAAGACTACTTCAGCTGGGAACTACCCAACAGGTGGATAAGCTAGCACAGAGCAGTTTGGGGGCGGGGGGGTCCTCAGTTTTATGATATTCGGCTTCTTCATTTGGACTTTTTGCAGCCTGTTGGTCTGATGAGCCACCAGGGGCCTCCTGAGGCTTTCTGGCCATCAGGACATTGGTTGGAGAGCAGATCTGCCCTGGGGAAAGGTGTCTCTAGGCGTTCCCAGAATCCTGACTCTGCAGACCGATTTTCACCTCTTGTCCCTTGCATGGTGGAAAATACATTAAGCAACTCTGGGGTGCCTGGGTGGCTCAGTCGTTAAGCGTCTGCCTTCGGCTCAGGTCATGGTCCCAGGGTCCTGGGATCGAGCCCTGCATCGGGCTCCCTG